CTTCCTTCCTTCCTTCCTTCCTTCCTTCCTTCCTTCCTTCCTTCCTTCCTTCCTCTTCTTTCTTTCTTTCTTTCTTTCTTTCTTTCTTTCTTTCTTTCTTTCTTTCTTTCTTTCTTTCTTTCTTTCTTTCTTCTCTCTCTCTCTCTCTCTCTCTCTTTCTCTCTCTCTCCCCTTCCTCCTGTTCTTCCTCTCTCTCTCTCTCTCTCTTTTGTTCTTGCCTCCGCATAGGATCTGTGTGAGGTATTGTATGCCAACAGCCCTGCAGCACTGGCCATGTTGCTGTTGCCTTGGACATCCCTGTCCCCTCCCTTGACCCCCCCCATCCTGCCATGCCTTCCTGCTTTGAAAACCTGCAGCTTCCAACCCGCCTTCCTTCTTCCTTTCTTACGATCCCAAGGCCCAAGCGGCTTCTTCATCCTGGCTTAGTTCTGGTTTCCTGATTGGCCTTCATGACTCCTGCCATTTCAATCCTCTCCTTGTCTCTGGCAGTCACTTCCATGATGTCTTCCACTCACCCCTCACCCCCATTGCACTCTGCTTGCCACGTCTCTTATCCCTTGCCCCAATTCTAAACTGGGATCCCCAACCAGATTAAAACAGGAAACGAGGAAACAACAGGCGGCCCAAATCCTTAGCTAGAATCTGCCTTCCAACTACAGTTTCCTCCTTGTTCACCTCATTAAACTGACCAATTGCTCTTACAGCATAAGCATCCCTGTTCTGTCCTGCCACTGATGGGCGGGGTGGTGGGGGCTAACTTTCTCCCTGCCTATCTTCATTCCTTGGGCTTCTGATATTTCAGCCTATACATTTTTAAAGCTTAGAGGGCCAGCCACTGAAAGGAAGATGGATTTTGTGTCCAAGGTTAATGTGATTGCCTATGCAAAAATAGTAAGACTATCTCTGGGAGTTAACTCTGCCTGCTCCAAACCCCTTCATTAGCTCAAGCTGAGATTATCTTCTGCACCAGGAGCACTATCGATGCATAGATGTCTGATACCGGCCCCGATGAGGTTGCGCAAATTATGAAATTCATATCCGCTGCACAATGACAGCATGGCATGCATGATGTGGCTTCTCTCCTTCCTCTTGTCGATCCAGATGCATCGATGTGTTTCCTCTATGACCATTTACGGTGATTGAAAGACTCCGTTCACACATTGCATTAAGCCAGGCGGTTATTCAGTGGTATAAAGGCTCGTTTAACCACATTTGAAGCCAAACCAAATAGATCGCTGCAGGATTAAGGCAAACCGTGAAGGGCAGACTTTAGGGATGCTATTTTATTATGTCGTTATTCTTAGGAAACCATAATAGGGATATCAGGCTATTTTAATCCCTAGGTGTTTTTGTTACATGGCATCCTTTTAATCATGATCTTGAAGGGATTATTCCCACTGAATATCCATTAGTGGCCTAGAGGTGGAGCTCTCGCCTCACAATCAGGAGGCTGTGAGTTCAATCCTAGGTAAAGGCAGACATTTCTCTCTGGGCACAGTGAGAATTTATCTGCTGAATAAAAATCCGCATTGGCGACAGGAAGGGCATCCATCCAGCAAACACTCAGCTCCATTCAGTTGCCCTGACTCCATCCCGCAAGGGATTATGGGGTCATTAAAAGGAGATGATTCCCAGTGAGTATACATTCTCATTCTGACTCTTTACCAAATCCCCCAAGGTGGGAATAATGCTTTGTGTGTATGTGTGTGTGTGGTAAAATGAGTAAAAATTCCTCCATAT